TAAATATGTGTCTAGTAAAGTATTTAAAAATATATAATAGATATATGGACCATTTCAAGAGATTGGTAATTGGGGTTTTGGTTTGCTGTGGGTTCAGATGGCGAAAAATTGAGTGTAGATGTACATTTTCTTCTAGGGTGCTAACTACCGTGTGAGATATGACAAGATGCACGGTGTTTGCTGGTGCCGTGAAATTCGGCAGCGTACCTTGGGTGGCACACATGAACTGCCAAAGGTAGTTAGAAACACCTTACAGATAGTCACAGTTTTTGTAGCCAGAATGGAAGTAAATGCACAGCAGCAGTGTACTAATGTGAGCAGTAACAGGCAAAACTCTTCTGCTTTGGTGACCCTGCTTTGGTGGCATTGCTCATCGGCACCACAGCTCGACCTCTGCAGTAATACTGTGCTGCTGTGCTCAACTGGCCACGTTTCCACAGGACAGAATATATAAGAATATACATATTTTACATACAGAACTATATAAGTCGGACTAATAATTTAAGCATTGTTATTAACAGCATATTGAAATAATGTCTAAGGGACAGGTACATATTAAAATGGTGCTATACCATTTTTCAAGTGTAATAAAAGGCTTGATAATTAAGGTGTAAAATGAATAGATTTGTGCTAACTGGGTAGTCAAAATACTGCATTTCTTTTTTTTTTTTTTATGGGGAACACAGAGTCTAAGCTTGCAATCAGCATGTAGACAGCTGATTGCTAGGACAGTTAGCTAAAATAATTAAGATTGTGCAGGCTGCCGTGTTCTCTTCATCTGCAGCATGTCCTCTCGCTTTTTAATACCTCCTTTCCTACCGAGGCTTGTTTTCTTGGGGGTGAGGAGAAAGTGATCTCAGAATTGTTATACCCATTATTACTTTAAAGGGACAACCTAATAAATTCAGTAAGTGAAGAGAAGATGCAGCTAGAGCTTGAGGGTCACAGCACTGGGCTCTAATTCTTTCTCCAAAGTAGACACGTCCTTCCGGCTAGCGCTGAGGGAATAAACAGGCAATCTATTACTTTAAGGAAATGCACAAAAGGAAGAAAGGTGAGAGCCACACTTATTAAAGCCAATACGATTTTTCTTAAACATTCAACATGTCATGTTAGTGAACAAGAAAATACATGAACAATGAATAAAATGCAATTAAACAGGACCTCCACAAAAAACTTCCAAGTGCCTAATTTGACTGCAGAGGAAGGAACTTGAATGTGGACACGGGCTTTATACACAACCTGTACCTTTTTCCTTTTTTTTTTTTTTAAGGTATAAACAATGAAGAAAAGGAATTCTTAAAAAGCAATGGGAAATATCTTGGGATTTTTTCTTTTTTCTTAAGAAAAAAAATAGATAGTGTTGAGTGTTACAGAGAGCATGATAGCTGTATAAGGAGTGCAATAAGATGAGGTAGACTGCTTTGAATTTACAGGGCACTTGCACCATAAATGAAACATGAATACAGCCTAATTAACCTGATTAGAGCTATTGCTTCTACACTGCAATTGTCTTTACATAACACATTCTGCTTGAGTAACAGAGTCTTATTATCTGCTGTTGTACTGCCGCCGATAGCTCCTGCACTCTCCTTGTTCTGTATTCATATTGCTGAATTATGGTGCAGCGATGTCATTTTCATCCTGCTAATATATAGCCTAACGACAAAGCAGGGATTAGCAAAACAGCTCCCAAGCAACCATAGCAGGTTAAAATAGATATAATCAGTTGGCTGAGCCTTCAGTTTTCCTCATTTCTAAAGATGAAGAAACCTTACTTAAAAAATTATAAAAAAATAATTCACACATTTCATATTTAACATTCACTCCTTGAATTTTTTTCACAAAATATTCAGCATTTGCTATTGTAGCATAGCCTCCAAGATAATGTTTGATATCCTCTCCAGAGACTCTGGACACTGTCTAATGAATAAGAATGTGCTCTGGGTTGGGCTAAATTGCCATATGCTGATTCTAGTACATTCACAAAGGGATTTTATTACATTAGCTTGCTTTAAAAGGTGCTTTTTGTTTTTTGACTTCCACTCCTTTTACTAGAAAGAAACCAACGGGCCCAATTCCCTGCTGTTACCCCAGTTTGACGCTGGCACACTACCAATGGAGTGATAACTGTGGGAATTGGGTATAAGGTTTGCAAAATGAAAGAGGTAGAAACGTTATTTATATTTTGTCTAGCTTTTGGAGAATGCATGGTTTGAAAGATACTGTTGGCCTAAATTTATAGCATAGCTGTAGAATTTTTTTTTTTAATAAATTTGTTTTTCATTAATATATGCTATTAAGGCAAAGCCACGTCTTTGTGCATTTTAGTGAATTAGTCAACGGGACTGTTCCTGATGCCTAGCACGGACTTACCTGTCATTCCCAGAAAAAAGAATCAAATTAAGAAGAAGAGAGGAAGAGTGTGGAATCCAATTCTGATATTCTCAATCTGAAAACAGACTGTTTTGATACTGCTTAGCTTTACTAAGGTGATCAAAGGGGTTTATTTTCATTCAAATATGGAAAACACACTCTGAACTCCACCATCGTCGCTATCACCATTGGCTCATCAGCCAGCATACTGATTAAGTGGCTTCAGAATTTCCCTTCTCTTTCAGTATACACTATTTCCCAAGTCATTCAGTAGGGTTAAATGTCAGACAAACTGCCATCTGAAATTTGAGTCACGTCATATCTGAGGACTGGTGTTTGCTATGTAATTCTATTGCA